TATTAAGGGGACGGTACACCAAATAGAATACCCCCCCCTCACACCCAACGACCTCCCCCACCCCCAAACAAAATAAAGCAAGCAAAACAACCCCTCAAAACAAACAGAAACACTCTAAAAAAAAACACCCCCAAAAACCCAAACAAACAAAATACTAAAAAACCAACCGATTTGGGCTTCAACTGTGAGCTTTGCCTGTTAGTATTCAAGAAAAATAAGTAAACGTGTTTGTAAGAGTAGAGAAAAGCACATCGACACGTTAATGGTCATTTAGTGCTGGGAGAAAGAAAGACAGACAGACTCACATAACAGAGGGAGAATAAAGAAGTGGGACCTACCAGTGGCGCCCTCCAACCACCCGCGTTTTCAGATTCAAATCTCTCTTGAATACACATTTCATATTTGTCTGTCTGTTTACTTTTACGTTTCCCTCCTCTGGTATCCTTAGGATGTGGAGGGGAGGCACAGGTTTTGGTGGTAGGAAACATCTACACCTAACCTTCTCGGATAAGGGCCAAAAATCTCGGAGGACCCGTGTGCAAGTTACGCACGTTAAAGATCCCTTGGTGGTTTAAAATTGATAAGAGTAGGCTTCGGCCGCCGCCGGCGCAAAATTTAAAATTTCCTACCAACTGAAAAAGTTTAAGGTATCCCGCGCGCTCATATGACCTTGTTCAGAGCTGCGAGCGCCTTAAAACACTTACCAAAAGTAAATAAATAAATAAATAAATAAATAAATAAATAAATAAAAACAAATTTCGGTCCTGTGCTAAGTGTGTGGCGTCTGTGATTGTTGTTCGTGGTGGGCCTTTTATCCCCATCCATCCAGTTCTTTCTTGGTCTTCCTCTTGATTTGAAGCCAGATTCACGGGTGTGAATCTTGTCTGTACATACTTTACTTTATCCGTCCTCTTGTACCTCTAGGGCGTCGAGGGAGAAAGAGCTTCCTGTCTCTAGCACGTTTGATGACCTGGCTGGGTGGGATATTGTATATGCTCAGGGTATCCTTCACACCTTGGATCCAGGTCTTTCTTGGTCTTCCTCTTGCTTTGCACCCGGACACTTTCCTGTAGTAGGCTTTACTGTACAAACGTAAATAGACACGTTTCAGCAGGGAAGGGTTAAAGCACAGCTCGCTAGGCTAGGGGTTAAACAGTTAGACGTTCCGGGCATGACAGCGGACAGCATCCTAATGTGTCTCAGGTCGGCGGGGATGAACAATGAGTTGTCCCAAAGTCGGGCTGGTGTGGCTTGGCTTGGGTTTTATTTTTTTGTCGGTGTGAAGTGTGAAGATTATCTGCGCTAACGGAGAGAAGGTTCACACGCACACTGAGGCATACTGCGGTGTTTAGATGCCCCCCCCCCCCTCCCCCCCCCCCCTCGCCGCTTTCCAACGTCTCCTCCAAAAACCATTATAATCACCTCCACATCCACTTCCCCCTCCCCTCCCCACTCCAAACGTCACTCTCACTTTCACTTTCGGGCACACCCTCAATATGACGTTGGCGTGTACACACATGCATATACATACACACATACACACACTCACACACACACTCTCACATACATACGCACACAGACACACACACGTACACACACAGACACACGTACAGACACAGGCACAGACACAGACACAATGACATACGCGCACATGAACACGCGTGCAACCGCGTACAGAGTGAAAGAGAGAGAGAGAAAGAGAGAAAGAGAGAGAGAGAGAGAGAGAGAGAGAGAGAGAGAGAGAGAGAGAGAGAGA